TTTCTATCTATCTCCACCGACCAAATGAATTGATGTTGGTGAGATAGGAAGACACTGTTTTAGTGTACCTGTGGGAGGACAAAAATGTATTGAAATCATTTGGTAACATGCGGTGCATGTGCATGAGTCTTTTTTTTATAACAAAGAAGAAAATAGCAGCCTTAGGAGCCTAAGCATTCCTATAAGATATGATGGCAACATAGAAATATTTCGTGACAGACACGCTTTCAAATCATCTTTGATTCATCTTCTAAATAATTTCAAAGAAAATAAAATGAAAGCTTTCAAGTCATCTTCGATTCATCTTTTAAATAATGTCAAAAGAAAAATGAACGCTTTCACATGATCTTTAATTCACCAATTGAATAATTTGCTGCATTGAAAAGGCTTAATTTCAAAGAAAAATGGACGCTTTCACATGATCTTTGATTCACCATTTGAATAATTTGCTGCATTAAAAGGCTTAGATCAAATGGACAATTAAAATACTCAATATTGACCCATCCAGCAAAAAATGGACCCAAATAATAATTTTCCCTTCATTTAGAGTTTTTTGGGTCTCAAATTCAACCTCCTCATTTAGTTTCCGTTATAGAGATGATTTGAAAGATTGAGGTATAGAAAATGTTCATTTTCCATGGAGCAATTCTATGACTTCTTTTTTAAAGAATAGAGTAATTTACGTACGGACACAAGAAAAACTAGGAAATATTCAAAATGGGCCAATTTTTGGCATGCGGAAGGTTCAACCCGTATTTTTTTATTTTCTTTTAAATTTCTCCTCTTCTTTGGACTGGTTTTTAATTATTATTATTATTTAGTTTTTCACTAGTAGCACAGTGCGTGTGAGGGACAATCTAAGGTTGGGCATCCACGGACGGCCTTATTTCTTAGCAAACAAATGAGCTAATGTGGTCCAAGGATGACAACTTTGGACCGCCCTAAAAGCACCAGAGACAGCGGTCCTACCTAGAATAGGCAACTTGGACCGCCTCTGAGAGCTTAACAAAGTCGGTCTTTCCAGTCCGAAGATGCCAATGTCAGACAGCTTTGAAAAGCACCACAGAAGGAGGTCTGATGCAAACATCATACTTATTAGGCACTACCCCAAACAAGGGCCCAGCCCCACTGTTGCACAAAACTTTATATATATAAAAAAAAAGGCGGTCTAATGATGGTATCCTCCGACCAAGAGACAATTTTGAAAAAAATATAAAAAAACCTTAGGTTAAACGATCTTTCGTGTAATTTTAACCCAAAATTGTCTCATTTCATATTTTATTACTATTATTGGTGTCTGTAATTCACTCTCAAGAATAACTCACAAAAAAAGGGTACCCTAGAAGTTATGTGGAGAGAGAGAGAGAGTCAATACGTAAGCATAGTGTGAGATAAAATAGAATTAAGAGTGATTTATGTACGGACCCTAATTTTTTTTTCTAAAATGTGAAATACTCTATTTATAAGAGGAAATTAATAAAAAGGTCTGTCAACCCACTTTTTTTTTTATTTTTTTCAAAATTACATCTCAATCCGACATACTCGAATGGACTTTTAGCTATTTTCTTCTTTAGTTTTTTCGTTAGTAGGGCACAATCCCAAATACTCGAATGGACTTTTAGCTATTTTCTTCTTTAGTTTTTTCGTTAGTAGGGCACAATCCCAAAGCTTAAGGCACTGACCTACCAACGAAAAAACAAAAAAAAAATTTAAAATTCGGACTGAGGACTCCATCTTCAAAATGAAGAGCAATTTTGAAAAAAATAAATGACCAACCTTTTGTAATTTCTGATTATAAACAGAACATTTTGTATTTTTTTAAAAAAAATTGAGGGTCGACATGCATATGAGTCTAGAAATAAGATATGCATATATGAGTCTAGAAATAATGGAGAAGACGAAAAGACAGGGCCTGTGACTGTGAACTAACTATTTGTTGCAATAGATAAGCCTCCCCTTAACCTAACTTCATCATTCCTTCCTTGAACCCCCTCTCTTTCTCTCTACTTTTATAAACTTGGTATATATCTATTTGGATGTGATTATTCAGAGTGACGTGCATGATGATGATGAAAGATTATATAGTCTAAAAAGAAAATGGATAGTGGGGAGAGAAATGATTATTTTGGACCACAAGAGTTCGTTACCTGCGGTCTTCCTTCTCTCTCTTGCTTACCAACTTCAATTCAATTCATTTTCACACCTTTCTGCCAAAATTATTTTAAAGCCAGGAAAACTAGCAATGTCAAATTGGCTGGCTAATCACGTGTTTGTATTTGTGGTTTGCTACTGTTCTCACATCAACTTTGACAAATGCCATGCCCTCTTAAAACCATGGATTGTTCTCTTTTCATTGATGAATAATTCCCTTAATTTTGCTTTTTGAAATATCTTGTGAAAAATACAAAATGAAACGGATTGTTCAAAGATTCTCTTTTATGTTTTCAGTGCTCTCTCTCTCTTTCTCTCTAAATATTTTGTTTTTGTTTTTCTCTTATTCGATACACACTATTCTCTTCTTTTTCTTTTTCTTTTTCTTTTTTTTGTTTTTTTTTCAAACCATCCTCTCTCTTTCTTAAGTGTCGCCCTGCAGGATCCGCAGCCAACCCATTCTATTGACTTCAAAAATGGTAATTATTAATAAAAAAAAAATCTATATAAAGTTATGATCTTATATTACATAAGAGTGTTATGATGTTAGAAAAAAATCATGTAAAAAAGAGTGTTATGATGTTAGAAGACCTTCCAATTGAACATCTTGACCTCGAGATATATAGATATATAGATAAAAGAGTTTTAAGTTTAAAAAATACTGCATCTTGTAATAGTTTATCAGGACCGTCTATTTTCAAGTTTTTCAGTTGTCTATAAGTAGGGATTGTATACGATAAGAGCATTTACCTTTGATTCAAAGAGGTCACAATAAATCTTGACCATTGAATGTGAAATTAAATAGATGCATTTATTCTATTGACTATGCTCAAACTTCAAAACAACTTTTTTCAAAGTTTGTAACACACTCAAGCTATAGTTGTGACCACCTTATACCAAAGGTATATGGTTTCATTGTATACTTTTCCTTATAAATATACTCAATCTCCATTATTTTTGGAATATGAAATTTCATATTTAGGATTCAACATAGATTTTCAAGCTATCATAGAATTTTTTACCCCAAACCTTGTATAGTATAAGGTGGGCACCTTATATAAACTTCACCCATTATTATTGCATTATATCTTGTAGAGTGCTTAGAGCATGGACCTGCGAGAGCATAAATTCTAAATTTAGAAGGTCTATAACTAGAACAATATCACTTCTTTTTTTTTTTTATAATTAAGTGGGGAAGATAGATTTTTACCCTTTTTTTTTTTCAAATAGTTTAGAAATTAGTTTTTTTAAAATATTGGTGAAATAATATAAATGAGAATGAAAACCACAACATAGTGACCAGGGTGCGTGAGGGTGCTAACACACAACCTCCGCCCCTTCGCCCAACACAATATCACTTATGTACGGTGGATAAACAATTGCCTTCCACTTCTCAATTCTTAATGGCAAAAAAATTTCAATTATTATTCGCTTTAAAAATTGATTAAAAATTAAAAAAAAAGGAAGTAAAAAGTAAGCGTAAACTTACTTTGCAAGGAACCTTCAATTTGACTTGATAAAGGACACTCTGGTCATTTAGAAAAAGCCCCCATTGCTTTGGCCTTTTGGTTGGTAGAAGGAATGATACTTGGGGGGGTTTTGGTAGTAAAAAGACAATACAAAAACTAATTCCTCTTTTGGGAAGTTTGGAAGAAGCAACTAAAGCGACATTAAATATGATTAGGCAAAAGTATTATGAATGGATAATTCAACTTTGCCTCTAATTGGTGTGCTACAAAGGAATCTCTCTCTTTCACACTCCCCCCATATGGAGAGAGAGAGTCTTACTTGTGGGTACGTCTGGCAATGAGCTACGTGGCCCGACCCGGCCCTAAAAACAAAAGGTGACACTCGCAGTTTGTTGCCCGAGGCAGGGCTAGGGCCTTTGTCAGCTCAGTAGGGCCTGGTCTGGTCTGGCCCTTTTGTCTCTTTATTTTTTTTCATTTGTTTTGGGCTGGGGCCAGACTACCTCTATAGGGACAAGGGCCAGGCTGGCCCGGTCCGTTCCTACTCTCAGTTGTGGGCGGCCCTGACCTTGAAACTTTTCAAATCCTGGAAATTGTGAGCCCACCATGTTGCCTACATCTATCTTTGGTTTTGACTGCCTAATTCTTCAATTGAATGCGATATGCTGACATCCTACCAGAAAAGGGTTGACCCACCCTTATTCATTCTCTTGCCTCCCTCATTAACCCAGAAATCCTTGGTAATTGAACATCAAGTTCACAAACTCGGCCGGTCCAACTCAGAACCGGCTGGTCAAATTGGAATCGGGGTTTTAATGGTCTGGCTGGCTATTTTAAAAAAAAATTAAAAATTTTAATATACAATCCCAAAAAATAAAGGATTTATTTTTAATGTATTTTTTAATATTTTGATAAAAATTGCAAAGTGTTGTAGCCATTATTACTTATTTTTTATATTTTCCTATCTTTGTTAGAAAATTTAAAAAATATCCTTGGACACAAATCAATTTTTAAAATTCATTTTTTTCACTAACTTCATTTGGATGTTTTTTGTTTTATTATTTTTTAAATATATATTTTTAACACTTTTTGGACAGACCAGGACCTGCCCGGTTAGGCCGATTGAACCGGGCGGTTTACCAGCCACTCGGAACCTGCCGTTGGCCCATTTCCGAGACCGGTTCAATTTTTTCAAACTCCATTTACTTTTTGGCCTTTCTCTCTAAGAGACAAAAGGGTGATAAACAAACCCTCTGAAAGACTGGAATTTGTCGTCATTCTCACAAAAGAAAAGGAGACATTTTGTCCTCAACCTCTGCCGCCATGCGTAGTGCATGCCTGGCCTATATATATGAGAGGAAAACCAACCTCTCCTTCATTGCCTGTTCCTTGTGCTTCTTATCACTGTCATTACTATTTCATTTGCTACTCTGCTTCCAGCGTATTAATACTTCACTTTCTCCTCCAATGGATTCTAAAGCTCTGAGAAACTATTTCATCCTATCAACCCACCTTCTCTTTCTCTCTCTACTGGAACACTCTTTCATGGCCGAAGCGGCAACCTGTGACGATTGTTATACACAGTCTAGAGCTGCATACTACTCGAGTCAAGATGATTTGGGAACTGAAGGTCCTTAATGAATGGCAAACATTCATTCTCTCTCTCTCTCTCTCTCTCTCTCTCTCTCTAAAGTTTTAGAATTTGTGTGCAGTTGGTGCTTGTGGGTTTGGATCGTTTGGAGTGAGCCTGAACGGTGGGGATGTGTCGGCTGCATCGCAGTTATACAGGAATGGTGTTGGCTGTGGATCGTGCTACCAGGTAACACCATCAACTAATCTCGTAGTTAATGAATACACCTTTTGACAAAACACTACCTCTTAAAGTTGCATGATATATGCATTAGCGACCATAAACAAACAAATTCTTATTACTATGCAATAGTTGGCTTTTCTTTTTTTTGGAAAAAGATATGTATCAATACGGAAAACAAGATATTTTAAGTCCTAAAAATAGTATGTCATGCAAAAAATTATATGGACAGTCTATTTTAAAGATTTTCATGTGTTTATAAATCTACTCGGTTTGAACTATTTTTAGAGTTTATAATTAGATATGGAAATAGATTCTAGGCCATCCTAAAATTTTTGGACACCAAATGTAGATCTTATTATAAAGTTAGGAGGCGTACCATAGTTTCATTGTTTAAGGTTGCAACATTATGCAAACTTCACCGCTATGTTTTCTTTTTTTTTTTGCCGTATTTCTCTAAAGAGGGCCATTTTCATTATCGAGGATTCGGGCTCACCTAAAAATTACCAACATAACCTTGTACTTCTCTACCGTCCTTGAAATTGCTCAAGTAAAAGTTGGTGCTTGTCACTATAATAAAGTGCCCTTCATTTGGGAATGGCGTGGTGGAATGCTCCTCGAGCCTCATTAACGATCTAGGCCTCCATTCTCACTAAACATTCAAAAATTAAATATTTGTGAAACAGTCGGGGGCTTCTTATTATCATATTTTGGTTTTTGTGTTTGTGTATAAAGGTGAGATGCACCAATAACAAGAACTGCTCGGAGCAAGGGGTAACCATCGTCATAACAGATCACGGTGAGGGCGATAGAACAGATTTCATACTCAGCAGGCGAGCCTTTGGAAAGATGGCTCGGACCCAAGACGCGTCCTCTTCCCTTTTGGCCCTTGGTGTTCTTGACATAGAATATAAACGGTTTGTGAGCCCCTCCCTCTCTCTCTCTCTCTCTCTCTCTC